GACTGTTATCCTCTTCAAGTTCTATTGTAAATTGAATCCTTGGGTGAATGGAATTCAGATGATCTAGGAATTTCAAAAGCTCCTCCTTGCCAAAAGGCCATACAACAAATACGTCATCAACGTATCTTGTCCATAGTTTTGGCTTCAGATTTGCCTTCTCTATTGCTTTCTTTTCGAAGTAAATCATGAAGAGGTTGGCAATCACAGGTGAGAGAGATGATCCCATTGCTGCTCCATCTATTTGTCTGTAAATTTTCCCGTTGTGCATAAAGTAAGCGTTTTTCAGGCAATGTCTTGACAGATCCATTATGTATGGCGGAAGATCTTCGTTTTCTTCTATAAGCAAGAGTGCCTCTTCTACTGGAATACTCGGGTAGAGGGATTTGACATCGAAACTTGCCATAATGTCGTCCTTGTCCATCCTGAGAGAACCTAAAATCTGAGTGAAATGTTCTGAGTTTTTAACATAGGAATCTGCCTTTTCCACTATAGGCTGAAGTGCACTGGCCAGATGTTTTTCCAGCTTGCATAATGGTGAGTTAAAGGCGCTTACGATTGGACGCAGGGGAACCCCGTCCTTATGGATCTTTGGGAGCCCGTAGAATTTTGGGCAACGACTCGATTTTTCCCTCGGAATAAGTTTCTTCTTTGTATCCTCGTTTATTGATGAATCGAGAATTTTGGACTTAGTTGTTTTTTCCAAATATGTCGTGGGATCTCTGGTGACTAGTTTGTATATTGGGTCGTTCATATATATATATATATATATATATATATATATATATATATATATATATATATATATATATATATATATATATATATATATATATATATATATATATATATATATATATATATATATATATATATATATATATATATATATATATATATATATATATATATATATATATATATATATATATATATATATATATATATATATATATATATATATATATATATATATATATATATATATATATATATATATATATATATATATATATATATATATATACAGTTTCTAGGTTTTCGTTCCTCAAAACTTCAATTGCAATAATTACCAAAATTTCAGCAGTCACCACATAAGAATTAAAAAAAAATAAATATTCAAAGTAAAAAATATTGAACTTGAATTTCTTTACAAATAATTGGAGGTGTAATTGGGTACCCCCGCCACTGGTGTATTTAAAAAAAAATATGGTACACTAAATAATGTCTCTTGGTGCAAATTATTACATGTGCCCCAAATTTCATTAAAATATCTAATGTGGTATTGCAGATTTTAAAAAAATACATTTTATTTTTGTTTATCATCTCTAAAATTAAACACCCTGTAGAATTTGAGATAAAATCATGGCAGGCGATGTCACAACTTGATTTTAATGTACATCTATTTACTTCAAGAGTTCTCACTTTTATTATTTGAAATTAAAAAAACAAGTTAAATTCCAGGTGTCTGAAACTTTTGTTTAAAAGGAAGCCTTTTATATTTCGCGATTTTTAATAAAAAACCACAAGCTACCAACAAATCTGACTTTAAAATAAAATAATCATCATCCACATGGAGTCGGGCACCTCCAACACATGCTTCTAAACGCATCAATCGCTTTTTCTGGTGTCAAAAATAGTCACCCACGTAATTTACTCTTTATTTACGAGAATAAAAAGAAGTCAGGACTATATGGTGGATGGCTCATCAGATCGACGTTTTCAATGCTCGAAAAGTTCTATGTCCGCTATGTCTGCTCAGTTAACTTTACTGAAAATGATTACGAAAGGGACTTACAAAATGAGTTATCAGGTGTTTTTTCAAATTAACCACCAAATTTAAATTTTAGGTTTACCTTTAAAAAAGATTCTTAATAAAAATGTTGTTCCCACCCTATTATTATTTAACCAGAAGCCACCAACAGAAGCAGGATTATCTAGATCAAAAAGACTTCATTCCGAAAAATGCCAAAAAAGAAGCTCAGCAGGTATTGTATGAGCTTTTAGCAACAACATCGAATGCCACAAGTGAAATTCTAGAGAACAATCCATCTCCAGAACCCATGCCAGAACCCATCTGATTGTGATTCTTTTTGAAAAGGGCAAGAGGTGGTAAAAAATTTTGCAAAAAAATATTTTAACAGATTTTTGTAAGTTGAGAACGATACTTCGTATGAACACAAATTTAAAAGCAAAATATAACGTTAGTCTAAAAAGAAAATATTTGCAAGATGATACCCGCAGAAAAAAATTTAAAAAGCATGGTAAACTTGTAAAACAAATTTTTAAGATTTAAGTATATGTAGTAATAGTTGAGGGGGGGGGGGGGGGAAGGTTTATGTCTCCGGGATATTCAGGGTCTTTCGGACGATCTTGCAAGTTTCAAGTATTACGGACTTTTGGATTTTTGTAACGATGGTTTTATTCGTTATATTTAGTCTTTCCAGGTATCCTGCAAGCTTCTTGGTAGCCCAGTGGCCGATATAATTACAGGGATAACATGTACTGCTTTTAGGGTGAGTATTTTTTTATATTTCTCTGCCAAGTCGTAATACTTATTAATTTTTTCTCTCTCTTTCTGTTCCAGGTTGTGGTCCGAGGGATGTGAGACGTCGATGAAATACGCCTTTTTATTAGCCTTATCCAGCAGAATAATGTCTGGTCTATTGCTGGCTATTGGTTTATCTGTTACTATAGGTGTATCCCAGTATAGCCGATAATTTTCGTTCTCAAGAACTGTAGCCGGTATGTATTTAAAATATGGACTGTATTTTCCCTCTCCTAGGTTGCATAGCATTGCTAGTTCATGGTGTACAATATTTGCTGTTAAATTGTGCCTTTTGGTGTATTCAGACGGAGCTAGCGTCTGACATCCTGCTATTACATGTTCGATGGTCTCTGGCACCCGTCCACACATACGACATTTATCATCATCTATTCTGATCTTTTGGATATACTTCTTATAATTCCTAGTCGCTATGCTTCCATCCTGAATAGCTGTGATAAATCCTTCAGTTTCAGCGAATAGCTGCCCCTTAACTAACCAATTTGTTGATTCGCTCCCAGCAGTTTTTAAACTAGCTGGATATTTTCCATGAAGGGGCTTAATCAACCACTTCTCTTTTACCTCATCAAGTGTTGGTATCTCTTTTATTTCATTTTTTCTGAGATCTACAGCTGAGTATCTATCCGACTGACAAGCGAGCTTATGCAACGTCGAAGTATCTTTTTTACGGTGGAAGAACTTCTTTAACTGATTTACTTGACGCCTATGCAGTATGTTGAGGTCAGCCAATCCTCTTCCGCCCGTCGATCTTGGTAAGTATAGCCTTTCAGTGCATGCCTTAGGATGGTGAATTCTATGCTCTGTCATGAGGGTCCTTATTTTCCTGTTCAGCCTCTCCAAGTCAGTGTTAGACCATTTTAATATACCAAACGTGTACGTGATTACCGGTACCGCCCATGTGTTTACAGCTTTAATTTTGTTTTTTTAGTTTAATTCCGTTTTTAATATTTTTATCACCCTGTTTTGCAGTTTAGTTTCTATATTAGCCTTAGCATTGTTCTGATTAATATTAAGATTCTGCTCATATCCTAGATATTTATAATACGCGTTGTTAAGATACATTATTACGGTTTCAGATTCCAGCTTATCATAAGTTTTTGGTATACCTTTATGAGCTATAAGTTTGGCACACTTATCCAACCCGAATCTCATTTTGATGTCATCTGAGAATTGTTGTGTGAGTTGGATTAATCTATTCAGTGTGTTTTCAGATCCCGCATATAGCTTCAGATCGTCAACGTAAAAGAGGTGGCTTAGTTTATACTTTTGGTCTCCATTTTTCAGCTCGTATCCTAGGTTCGATCTTTTTAAGGCCCAGGAGAGGGGATTCAGGCTCAGGATAAACCATATAGGGCTTAGCGCATCGCCCTGGAAGATTCCACTTCGTATTGGTATTTCTTCGGTGTTCACAGATCCAGTATCAAGGTTTACAACTAATTTGGTCTGCCAGTTTTTCATACACCTTTCTAATAGATTGACTATCTTCTCATCGATTTTATAGAGTCTTAAGCATTCAATTAGCCAAGAGTGTGGCACCGAATCGAAGGCTTTTTGATAGTCAATCCATGCCACTGCAATATTGCGTGATCTAAGACGGGCATCGTGCGTAGTAATGGTGTCTATAATCAGTTGTTCCTTGCAGCCCTGAGACCCATAACGACATCCTTTTTGCTCTTCTGTTAAGATATGGTGTCTTTCTAGATGCTTAGATACCTTTGTGGCTATTATTGAGGTGATTATTTTATATAGTGTCGGAAGGCAAGTTATTGGTCTATAGTTCTTAGGGTTTTCTGTTTGATCTGCCTTTGGCACCATGTAGGTAATACCTTTTGTTAGAAATTCTGGCAAGTCACTATCGCCATCCAATATTTTGTTAACCTCGCTTGTCAAATATTTGGTTACAGCTACTTTCTTCCACCAGTAGTTGTGCAGGTGGTCTCGTCCTGCAGCCTTCCAGTTATGTGCCCTTCTTAAAGCCGCTATTACGTCTTGTTCCTCTACTTTTATAGGCTCCATGTCCGCTATAGTGGCGCAGTTATTTTTTTCCTCTTGTATATATTATTATTATTATTATTATTATTATTATTATTATTATTATTATTATTATTACTACTACTATAAAATATAATTTTATTGTGGATATCTCTCTTTTTACTAACTAAACCAATATACCGTGGGCTTCCATTTCGTACCATATAGCGCGGACTCACCGGAGATGAACCCACGTCGGGGTTGTACCAACAATTTACGTTGGTATCGATGGTCGCGTAATCCCTAAAGGTGCCACACACGTTGTTGCGGGCGACGTAAGCGCCGCACCCGCGAACTGTCAAAACGGCAACCAGCAATGCGGCGATCATGGTTTCGCGACGAACGGATACCGGCTAGTGGTCGGACGTCGGAGGCAAAAATGCACGAGGCCGGCCGTCATCTCGTAAAGTGTGGCAAGGCGAGTAAGTCGCCGCATCAAAGTTCAAGTCGGATCGGCCGAAGGTGAACCATTAATTCGGAAAAATACCTTGCGAATATGTTACGCGTTTTATCAATTAACGAGTGTTAACGCGAGATATGGGAAATCGCGTCGCTAGATCTGTCGGAACGGTTGTAGAATAGAATAGAATTTATTGACCACGTTTTCTTGATACAATTACTTCTTCTTCTTCTTCCGTAGCGTCACAACCCTTCGTGGGTCTTAGCTGCATCTACGACTCGTCTCCATCTGTCCCTGTCCAAAACAACCTCCTTCCAGTTCCGTACTCCCAAGATTTTTACATCCTCTTCGATATTGTCCCTCCATCTGAGCCTTGGTCTTCCTAAGGGTCTCTTTCCTGCTGGGTTTTCTTCCCATATCCTCTTTACAAGACGTTCATTCGGCGATCTCTGCACGTGTCCAGCTCACCTGAGCCTTTGTGCTTTTATTTCGTTTACTAAACTCGGTCTTTTGTACATGTCGTTAAGCTCCGCATTCGTTCTTATTCGATATTGACCCGTTCTCTCATCTATTGTTGGTCCGAAGATTTTCCGCAACATCCTTCGTTCAAAGCGTCTTAACACTAGTTCGTTCTGCTTTGTCGTTGTCCATGTTTCCGAGCCATACATTACGATTGGCTTGATTACTGCCGAATATATCCGTAGTTTTGAGTTCCTAGATATCAGTCGGGACTTAAACAGGTTCTGCAAGGCGAAAAAACATTTATTGCCCTTTTGCTTTTATTTCGCTGGTGATATCGTTATCCGAAGTTATAACTGCTCCTAGGTACTGAAATTGGTTTACGCATTCAAAATTGTGGGTGTCCATGGTTATGTTCCGTCCTATTCTGCCCCTTCCTGCTCTCCGTCCGGCCCACATATATTTGGTCTTGTCCTCGTTGATCATGAGTCCTACCTTCTTGGTCTCCTTCTCTATGTTCATGAACATTTCTTTTGTTTTAATCGTACTGCTTCCTACCGTATCAATGTCATCGGCATATGCCAAAATCATTTCTGGGCCCTTATTTGTAAATATTTCCAAGCCAATATTCGCTTCTTTGATGGCCATGTCCAGCACTATGTTGAAAAGCAATGGTGAAAGTCCATCGCCCTGTTTTAGGCCATTGTTAATGGAGAATGCCTCGGTGTTGTTCTTTCCTACCCTAACTTTGGCTTTAGAGTTTTCTATGCATAACTTGGTTAGCCTTATGATCTTTTTTGGTACCCCTATGCCTTCCAACGCTTGCCAGACACTTTCCCTGGTGATGCTATCATATGCTTGGCGGAAATCTACGAACAGTTGGTGAACCTCTCTGTTAAACTCCCAGCTTTTCTCTAGGAGCTGCCTTATGGTGAATATTTTATCTGTTGTTGATCTCTTGGGTCGAAACCCGCATTGGTAGTCCCCTAAGTTGTCTTCTGCCTATGGGGATATGCGTCCTCTTAGTACATTTGACAGAACCTTGTATGTTATATTTAGCAGGGTTATTCCTCTATAGTTTTTACAGGCCATCCGGTCTCCTTTCTTATGAATGGGGACGATGGTACCCTCATTCCACTCCTTTGGTAGGGCTTCTGTTTTCCATATGTTTTTCAACAGCTCCAGTATGGCAGTATCTAGATGTTCCCCTCCATATTTTATGCATTCCGCCGTAATGGAGTCCTCACAATTACGGCAAGTCATAAATACATAGAAAAATATGTGCGGCAGGCAGTTCCAGTAAAAATCTAAAAATGCCAAAAATTGATGATTTGGATAGGGCAATGTTGCAGTGGTTCCAACAGCAACGTCTTAAAAATGTACCACCCTCTGGACCTACCGTAAAATTAAAAGAAGAAAAGTTTGCTGAGCAGCTTGACATTATCGATATCAATTCTTCGGAAGAATACTTGGGGAACAGAGACGTGGTATAAATTATGGACAGATAAGTGGCGAAGCCGATGATGTCGACAGAAACGTCACTAACGATTGGCCGGAGAAGACTTGGCCAAAACTAGCAGAAAAGTACCCTGCTGACGACACTTTTAATGCTGACGAAGCTGGTATTTTTCACAAAATCACGCCAGATAAAACTCTTAAATTTCGAAGTGAAAAGTGTGTGCAGATGTGTGTGTGGAGATACGGAAAAGAGATGCAGAATTAAAAGAATTAAAATATTACTTCTCTTAGATAACTTCCCTGCACATCCCCATATTCCGAATCTACGGAAAACAACAAGTGTATTACAGCCGATGGACCAGAGCGTAATAAAAAGTCTTAAGAGTCTATACAGGAAAAACATTTTAATGGAAATGATCGAGTCCGAAGACAATTCTTCCATTAATATGTTAGATGCAGTCAACTTATTTGTAAACCTTGGAAAGAGGTGGCAGCAGAAACAATTCAACACTCCTATTGTCATGTAGGACTTATCACAGAGACAGAAGATGATCAGCCACTAAGCGAGTTTACGAGCAATTACGTTTACAAGTGAGGAGTTGCAAGATTTTGTTTTTTATTACAACAGCAGACTTGACAGAGGAAGCCATATTACAACAACCAAGAAAGGGTGAGGAAGAGCACCAAGAGGAAGATGAAGAAGTTGATCTGGGACCGCCACCAACCATTCAACAAGCCCTATATTCAGTTAAGCTGCTAGAGAAATTTTTTATGTATCATGGGGAAGATGCCGCTCTCGAAGAAATGGTGAAAATACAAGCCAAAGTACGAGATGCGTATTGGCATACTAAAAAAATTCAAAAGAAAATGAATGAATGAATAAAATATTCCTAAATAATTAAATATTACAGAACACAGAAAGTACACATCGGGAGTACCCATTTATTTCCCGACCGAGTAAAATCAGTGCATTTATAGGAATGTTAAAATGTTTTTTTTTATTTTCTATTACTTAGAACTTTCACGTTAGCTGGTAGTTTATGTTTAGTGAATTTATTTGACTTTTGGTATATTTGAATCTTGAAGCACGAAGTAGCTTGTTATTTCTAGTTAAATAGTCACGGTAAGAGGAGTTCCGACTGACGCTGTCTATGTTTTTGTGTATTTCTAATGAATGATAATAAATATGCATACAAGGAAGTGGCATAATTTCCAACTTCTTAAAAATTGGTTGACAGTACTCCAGATAACCTGCACCGGCATTCAAACGACCAACTTTCTTTTGGAGTTTAAATGCCTGGTCTGCTGTGTGCAAAATTACCCCAGAAAACTATGCCGTAAGTTAGATGAGAGTGATAAAGCGAAAAATAGGTAACTCGCAATATGCCCGCAGTAAAAAGTCCTTTAAGGTTGCGAATTATAAAAATATTAGAGGCAAGTTTTTTACACAACATGTTAATATGAGGGGCCCAATTTCAACTATCGTCAAGCGTTACTCCCAAGAGCCTTACATTCTTGATTATTATTAGTTGAGAAAACAAGACGTTCTGTCTTATCGGATTTTAGTTTAACATTAGCTCAACATTACAAACATTGTCCATAAGTTCATTGTAGTTTTACGATGTATCGTCCTCATAAAATGTACATCTATTGGGGAACCGAAAATGATACAAGTCATGGTGAGCAGTGGCGGACCCAAGACGGAGCCCCGAGGCACGCCACTGCTCACAACCCTCAACTCCGATATGCTATTCTTAAAGACGACACACTGTCTTTTGTCAGTTAAATATGACCGGATAAGATCCTGAGGGTGACCACGACATCTACCAAGATTCTCCAGAAGAGTATAGTCCCTTCGCAGATAAATCGTTAGATCGAAAGACTATGTTTAATGTCATGAAACTAACTGTAACTAACTATCCACCCTTATTTATTGCATCTGATAATAAATGACGATACTTACTGAGCAATTTATTTAAGAAATGCATCGATACATTTGTACAAGGCGTGTTCAAAAAGTAAGGTGACTTAAGTTTTACAACTTTTATTTCTGTTGCAAGGAAATTCAAATATCGTTGGTCATTCAAGGATCCTTCCACCATATTGTTCAACATACCACACCATACATGAACTGACGTCCGTCCTTGGATTTTCACTCCCTGCATTTTGTGTGGATTATTGGTGGACCAAAAATTTTTATTCTTCCGGATATTTTTTTAACGTCAGGTATAGAATATTCAGGATTTTCTAAAAATTATGAAATATAAAAATTAAGAAAGTAGAACTCAAAGAAGAAGTAAATTAAAATATCGAAGTCTTCATCAAAATTTCTTTCTATTGTCCTGGTCTTCCATATGACTCTATTTCCGTCCTCAAATTGTTTAATTACATTGTTAATTTTTCTTCCTCAGTATTAGCCATTTGAAATATCTGAAGTATTTAACTTACGCTGCAGATCTTTGGTTTTGATTAGTCGTCAAAACTACAATATTGTTAAAACAATTGCAATCATAGATAATGTGGTTGCTATCAGAAATCGAACGATAATTATGTTTAAACTGAAATATCTCAATATCAATAAACTAATGTTTTTGAAATCAGGAAAAAAACAGCTACGATTTATGCCAATAATATATAAGGCATTCCATTTTAAAAAAAGGTTGTTGCTGTCATTTTGACAGCTTGCGATAGGCTTTTGTTTTTTCTGACATATACGTATTTACGCTTTTTTTTCTATATTTCAAAATTCACCCTGTAGGTGGGTGTCAAAATATAATGAATGGAATCCAAAAGAAATCAAATGTTGTGGCACTTTTTTCAACTAATTAGTTGTTAATTACTTAAGAATACCATGGCAATTATTAATTTTGCTACTACGTAGAAGAACATATATATACAGAGTGCATCTGAATATAAAATTTGTCCATAGAACCGCATTAAGACATTGTTATCTTTTTAAAATCACTCTGTATCTTGAGAAAAAAGCAATTTAAGCGACACGTTATGCACAAAATGCTTCACCATTAACACGATTGATTGATGGCAATTAGTGCTACTCTTTTTAAATTTTTGAAAAATGTCAACTGCAATTATACAAATGCTACGACATTAATTAACTATGCAATTTTCAATTATCCCTACCATCGGGCAGATAATGAAAATGAAATAGTTCTTGTTTTTGATTTAAGTAGACATTTATTAAAAAATTTGCTTGTTGAGGTGCTTATTTATGTTAGCGATCACGGTCGCTGTTAATTATTACTGCGCGGTTGGCAAACTAATCTAAGCAAGGGTTTAAAAATTAAATTAATACGGAAAGGTTTTCACGGACGTCACTTTAGTCACAAGCGTCTGAATTATAGTAGGCTTAGCATTGTTTCTTCATAGTATTTTAGAGCAAAATATTTAGCTTTTAAACTAAACCCCTTTACAGAGAAAACTCATAGTTTCCTGCCTAATTCCTTTATTTCATTGAACAATTAAAGAGCAGTTAGTTTCGACGTTGAATCCCTCTTAACATTATGTCAGATATATTAAAATATGAGAACTTGGAATCAAACATTCTCACCTTGATTAGAAAAGGCTTGCCTGGCACAAACTAACCAAAACTAACCAGGAAGAACTACGGGTTCCCCATTGTAACCAGTCATCGCAAAAATTTTTGTGGACGCATTTGAATAGAAAACGTTATTGAAATTACCGTTATTGAAAATTACCGTGTAAGTCATATCTTTGCACTTTTGTTAAATGTAGGTTAGATTTGCCGAATTTTATTATTTTAATTACTGTTCTACTATTTTAATTTTTGTTTTTGTTATTGTTAACCTATTGTTAGCTCGTTTAACTACGATATTTGTTCTAAAATTTTCCTTATCGGACCTTCTCAATCATTCCAAATCTCCTTCCTTTCCTGGGTTTCTTGGGTTTCGGGAACACGAAAAAGTCGCAAGGTGCCGTATCCGGTGATTATGGTGGCTAAGGTATGATTGTGGTTTTGCTTTTGAACAAAAAGTTGGACACAATAAATGGTGAGTAAGCACCACAATCAGTTTTCCTACTACAAACGGCTTATAACTTCAAGGTGATTATCTTTATTGACCGTACGACCTTGTGCTATAATTCTACGCCACGATAATCAAAGAAAGCAGTAAGCAAAACCTTGCCATTTGATTGAACTTTTTCTTGGCGATTCTGAGTTCTTTCAATGGGTATTTCATTTTTTACACAAAATTTTGTGGAAATTCTTTGATCCCTTTTGTTCTTTACAGCAGAAAACCGTCGAGCACACAGAAGGCGTCTAACGCTTCTGTCTCACAAAAAAAAATTAAAAGTAAAAGTGTACCAACATACCATAAAAAATATCGAAGATCGAATGTACGTAGCCCTCCCAATTACAAAAGTTGCATTATTTTTTGAGCACACCTCGTAGCAAGTCATATTTTCGTAATTTTGTTAAACATAGATTAGCTTTGTCAATCTTATTGTTTTAAATATTGTTCTACTATTTTAATTTTTGCTTTTGCCTACCTTTTTGCATGCATTATTTTATTCACAGCAACATTAAAATAGTTACTGTTACTGTTACGTAGGTTTGGTCTGTTCATAGATATAAGAAAGTGACCAATTGCTTTTGAGTGGGATTATCCAAGGGTCGTCATCAACATACAATGGAACAAGATTATTACCTAAAGTTTCGGAATTTAAATTCAGGTAAAGTATTTTTATACCTACCTGTGTTTAATATTCTTTGGTTTGGTGTACTACTTAGATTAAGTTTATTAGTAATCATTCTTATTTCGTGGGTAACAGCGTGTGTGGAATCGTGTGCGAATTATGCAAAATATATGCGAGTCTAGTGTATCTCAGGAGATGATCCCGCCCAAATGTAGAAAACACTATTCTATTGAGACTAAGGAAGTTATAAACAATGTTTATTTGACTCTCATTGAACGTGGTGCCAGCAAGCAAGCATCTTTAGAAGAAACGGCCACATTGACGAAAATTCCAACATCAACTGTATGGAAAATTGTGAATAATCCCATTTCAGCGAGGAAAAAAAGAAGCGATGCTGACATTTTCTCGAGCGTAGATGAAAGTGATCAAGATATAATACGGCGTAAAATTTACCGGTTATACGAGGCGCAAAGCGTGCCTACAATATATATCTTCATTAAGAGTCTTGAAAAAGATGAAACCGGTGTTAAATGTAGCAGAACTATCTTATGGAAGTGTATTCAACACATCTGTCTTAGATTGTAAAAAATTGACAAAAGGCAAGTTTTAATGGAATCTTTTAGAATTCGAAAATGGCGACTGGAATATCTAGAAAAAATTAGGATTTACAGAGAACAACAAAGGCCAATTATTTACTTGGTTTAAACCTGGTTCGACACTTATGATACCCCGGAAAAGGGTTGGGTTGACTCAACTAATAAGTGTAAAACAAACGCGCCATCAAAAAGAGGTAAAAGAATAACTATTTTGCGTGCTGGCTCTAAAGATGGTTGGATTCCAAATGGACTTTCTCTATCTGCCTAAAATATTAAAGATTCTTCTCTGGATTACTATGAAGACACCATCGCTGATTTATTTGAAAGTTGGTTTAAAAACAAACGAGTTCCAAACATTCCTCCTAATAGCGTCATTGTAATGGACAATGCAAGTTTTCACAGTAGACAGTTGACTAAAACCCCCTCCTTATGTGACACAAAAGGAATAATCCAAAACTACATGTATATTAAAGAGATTTATTTTCACAAAGATTATACCAAAAAGCAATTAATTGAAGTTCTACAAAGCTTAAACCTACAATAGGAATACTTCTGTGATAATTATGCAAAAAATCCAGCGCACACAATTTTAGGGTTTTTAAGGCACCTTACCACTGTATATTTAATCCCATTGAACATGCTTGGCACCAACTGAAATCTGCCATTCGTCGTAACAATGTTTTTCCCCGTGTTAACTCGAATGTCCTCCAACTTATAGAAACCGAATTTTTTAACATCCCTCCACAAAGTTGGGCAAATTCTGTTAAACATATAGAAAACGCAGAACAATCGTATATCCGCATTGCGATTAATATGGAACAAATAATAATTAGAACAGGCGATGATACTGATATATTATGTGAATAATTTTTAGTAATTTAAGTAGGTAACAAAAATAATTTGTAATTTTATTTTAGATTTAAACATAAATGCATACATAAATAAATAAATATTGTTTAATATCTTACCGAACAAAACCCCAAATAAGTAAATTCTAAGCAAAGTACGGACCTGTTCGGCCATATTTCATTCTTACAGCTTGCCTGGGTCTTTTCTTAATTCGTATCAGTTAGTCATTTTCTTATATCTATGAACAGACTTTACACATTATTATTATTATTATTATTGTTATTACAAAGAATAAAGTGAAGAGGAGAACCTATTATGCATATTGATAGTTAGTAGCATAAGAATGTTATACATATAATAAATATTTAGTTATTGCTGTGAAACAATACACTCTCCAAGCGTCCCCTTTACTTGCAATTTTTTAGTTAGTCACTTTCTTATATCTATGAACAGACTTTACACATTATTATTATTATTATTATTATTGTTATTACAAAGAATAAAGTGAAGAGGAGAACCTTTTATGCATATTGATAGTTAGTAGCATAAGAATGTTATACATATAATAAATATTTAGTTATTGCTGTAAAACAATACACTCTCCAAGCGTCCCCTTTACTTGCAATTTTTAAGTTAGTCACTTTCTTATATCTATGAACAGACTTTACACATTATTATTATTATTATTGTTATTACAAAGAATAAAGTGAAGAGGAGAACCTATTATGCATATTTTTAGTTATTGCTGTGAAACAATACATTCTCCAAGCGTCCCCTTTACTTGCAATTTTTTAGTTAGTCACTTTCTTATATCTATGAACAGACTTTACAGAGTAAAATAGCGTCTCCTTCATCATTTTATTCATACCAAATGAAGAACCTACTTCAAAAATTTAAGTTAGAAGTAGGTACTTGATCCATCCGCAATCCTCTTTTTTAGTTTTCTCTATTGGTTTGCGTGTAGGTTCCCGTATCGTGGTCGGTGCTAATTGTCTATTCTGTGCGCATTTTTCCGTCGAACGAAGAAAAAACCATTTTGCATGCGCGCACAAAGTTGATCGCGCGCTCGTAGCTGAAAGAGCTTTCGGAATTTAGAAAAGTCCCCCTTCGCGTTTAGTTGACGCCGTTTCGTATGGCGGTTCGTGACGGCCGTTTCAAAAAGAACAACGGGATGGAGTTCGGCCTGGCGACGGCGACGAAGACCTATCCAGCGTCGCGCCCCGTTCAGGTAAATTTTCCAAATTCGTGTGTCTCATTTTTCGGTGGTTTTACGGGCCCGCTTATTGCTAATGACTAATGACGCGACGACGCGCTTTTGGCGCCATTTGATTTTTGAAGCTTTTAACTTAACCGAGCGTGCGATAAAAAAAATCGTAAATAAGCCAATGGACTAACAATAACAATAAAAATAGATTGATAATAGCAAACGTGGCAAAAGCAAAAATTAAAATGGCGGGATAGTAATTAAAACAATAAAATTGACAAGGCTAAGCTACATTTAACAGAAGTACAAAAATATGAGTTGCTACGAGGTGTGTTCAAAACGTAAGGTGACTTTTGTAATTGGTCGGGCTACGTACCGTGCGCTCAATTTATCTCGATAACGTTTAGAGATATCAATGAAAAAAAACAGAATGTAAGTTTATTAGCCAAGTTTTTTTCCATGTAACGTACAAAAAAAAACAGTGTCAATTTTCTGACATATAAGCCTGTATATCATACATGTGTTTAATGGAATATCTTATCTCGATTATATTTTATTCTTCTTGACAAATCGGCAAAAATGACTGACAAATAAAAATATTATATTATATTATAGTATATTAGACGTTAACCAGAGTGCAGCGCTCCTTCAAAACAGATATTTCCAAGGCTGCAAAAAAATTTTCAGAAAACGGTAACGTCTTAAATGCTAAAAAGGTATGTCGGAATCACAATGTTTTAAATAAACAAAATAAGAAAAAAAGGACATCCAGTTTCCTCTATTACTTGAGTATGTGAAGAGAGAGCTATTTTTCGGGGATCAATTCACTCAGTTTTAAAAGAATATACGAGGTTAGCGCCAAAATTTCCCGGCCTGACATAGATGCAGCAGCAGTCTTGCGCCAAATGGTTTTTTATTGACAGCATTTTAAACAAGATGTGTCCGAAAAAATGTCGCACATAACGCAAAATGAGTATAGAGCAGTCATAAAGTTTTTGTTAAAAGAAGGGTTAGGCAAGACGTTTTCGAATCGGGCAGGAGTCCCTTGAAGATGATTCAAGAGCTGGTCGACCAGTGGATGTCATAGCGGCAGATATTATTGCGATTGTGGAAGAGGTGGTATTGAGTGATCGACGTTTAAAGGTCAAGGAAATCTCTGAAATTACTAAGCTTTCTGATACAAGTGTTCATCGAATCCTGCATGATCATTTAGGTATGCGTAAGGTTAGTGCAAGATGGGCTCCCAAAAACCTTTCGGCTATTCAAAAACAACGCCGTGTCGAGTGTGCGCGGTCTTTTTTGGAATTCTGTGGGTCGGAATCGAAGCCTGTGATAGAAACTATTGTGACAGGAGATGAAGGTTCTATATTATGACCCTCTATCGAAAGAAGAATCAATGGAGTGGCGTCGTAAGGGTGAAGCACCTCCAAAAAAATTCAGAGTCTGCCATTCAACAAAAAAGGTGATGGCCACGATCTTTTGGGATTGTGAAGGAATTCTTTTGATATATTTTAAAGAAACTAATATCAATGTCAATGGTAAATATTATGCGTCTTTTGCACGATAATGCACTTGTTGCACAAGCTGCCATTTTAGAGCGTGGGTTCCAACAGATAGACCATCCTCCCTATAGTCCAGATATGGCCCCCAGCGACTATTATTTGTTTGGATATTTGAAAAAGGACTTACGTGGACGGCGGTTTAACGACGAAGTTGAAGTTAAAAGAGGCTGTTTTAGCTCATTTTGCAGACAAAGAGAATATTTTGTTTCTTTCATATTCAGGCAGGGAAATTTTGGCGCTGCCCTCGTAAATATTTAAATTTCGTAAAACTCAAGAACTAAATAGACTTAATGAGAATAGTAATTTTTTGAAAAACACTTTATGGACTGATGGAAGCTCATTCACCACAAAAAAGGGTTCTAATAGACAAAATACGCGATTTTGGTCTTTAAATAATCCTAGACAAATACACGAACCAATCAATTAATGTATGTTGTGGTGGTGGTCGATATTTCTAAATCAAAAGTTAACTCGAGATCATTATGTGCGACTCTTAGAGTACCAAATAGAACAATATATAGAAGAGTTAATACCACCAGTTTTTCTAAACCTGACATAGATGAAGATACCCTCGGAGGTGATTGTGATATATCTCAGCTTAATGACTCAGTGAGTTTTAGCATGTAGACTTTCAAGCAACTGGAACAACACGTTAAAACTCACATTTCGGGAAGCACGAAATTATAGGCTATTTTGATCTAAGAAAAAGGACTAACCAAAAACTGTGCCCCCGAATCAACAAATATTCTTCGCAATTGTCTTATCAATCCACAAACAATTCTCTTATGAGCTTTGCATATTACGTTAGGAGCGATAAAGCAGTGCGTTAAGGCTTTAAATAAGGATGTGGCAACCTTCTCTATATAAAAAATTAAAGGGAGCAATTTTTGTAAGTGAATAAATACCATGATGGAATCTGAAAAGGCCGCATGAGTTTCATTTACTGATGTTACAAAGGGTTTTCTTTTTTTAATATATATATAAATATAATTTAGATTAAAAGAAATATATATATATATATATATATATATATATATATATATATATATATATATATATATATATATATATATATATATATATATATATATATATATATATATATATATATATATATATATATAATAAAACAATTTTTTTCTCATCCAATTTGTATCGTTTGCCGTCGGGAACAGTTTTTGTGGGACGCTGCAAATTTTAAAAAAATACTTAATTACAATTAAATGGAGGCGGCAGGGGGGGACTTTATAGTATCTGCGAATAGATCTCATCGACCTCCATCTTTCATAAAAATTTCAACCTTCTCGGAGCAACGTAGGTATTTTAAAAAATTAAAAATGTAAATTTTCGGGAAAAATCCAGACCAAACCTATGAAATTTTGGATCGAGGTCGATATTAACCGAACCCGCTGAAATTTGGCACGAAGATAGGCGTCGGGGGGTATTTAAAAAATCATAAAATCATAAAAAAGACATGATATTGTCATGTAAAAATATATAATTTCGTGAAAATCTGAACTTTTAGTTCTTATTTATTTTGCTACGAACTTGCCCCACCCGGCACCATTTTTCGAAAGCAATCTTATTATTTTTTGTTTTCTCCCAAAATCCAAAAGCCTTTCTAGTTAATTCTGACAAGTTTTTGACTCCACTTATGAATTGGGAAACTGCTGATTGCGGTATAAAGATTTCGTTACATAAGATTAATTGTGGGCTCTAAACAAAAAAAAATCGAGAATATTTTAGGTTTAATAATTAATTTCTCGAGTAGTACTCAAAATAAACCGTCTGCCGCATACATTATTCGCAGTTTATCAATTCAGAGCAGTGCTGAGCCTATGCAAATGCCCTTATCTACCCACATAATAATTTGGCTTGGCACTGTTCGTTTCCTTTTTCACTGTAACCTAAATAAAGTTTAATTTAACCATTTAGCGTCAACTACCGAATATTATCAATTTCAAAAATATATGTGGTCCATAATAGAAAATAATTTTATACCTACCTGTGTTTAATATTCTTTGGTTTGGTATACTACTTAGTTTAAGTTTATTAGTGATCATTCTTATTTCGTGTGTGGAATCGTGTGCGAATTATGCAAAATATGTGCGAGTCTAGTGTATCTCATGAGATGCTCCCGCCCAAATGTACAAAACACTATTCGATTGAGACTAAGAAAGTTATAAACAATGTTTATTTGATTCTCATTGAACGTGGTGCCAGCAAGCAAGCATCTTTAGAAGAAACGGCCACATTGACGAAAATTCCAACATCAACTGTATGGAAAATTGTGAAAATCTCATTTCAGCGAGGAAAAAAAGAAGCGATGCTGACATTTTCTCGAGTGTAGATGAAAGTGATGAAAATTTACCAGTTATACGAGGAACAAAGCGTGCTTATATTAGATATCTTAATCAGGAGAATTGAAAAAGATGAAACCGGTGTTAAATGTGGGCAGAAATGTATTCAACACATGGGTTTTGGATTTAAAAAATTTGACAAAAGGCAAGTTTTAATGGCATCTTCTAGAATTCGGAAATGGCGACTGGAATATCTAGAAAAAATTAGGATTTACAGAGAACAACAAAGGCCAATTATTTACTTGGATGGAACCTGGCTCGACATTTATGATACCCCGGCAAAGGGTTGGGTTGACTCAACTGATAAGTGTCAAACAAACGCGCCATCAAGAAGAGGCAAAAGAATAACTATTTTGCATGCTGGCTCTAAAGATGGTTGATTCCCAATAGACTTTCTCTGTCTGCGAAAAATATTAAAGATTCTTCTCTGGATTACCATGAAGACACCAACGCTGATTTATTTGTAAGTACTACTGCAAACTAGTTCCAAACATTCCTCCTCATAGCGTCCTTGTAATGGACAATGCAAGTTATCACAGTAGTAGACTAAAACTACATGTATAATAACGACATTTATTTTCACAAAGATTATACCAAAAAGCAATTAATTGAGGTTCTACAAAGCTTAACCTACAAAAGGAATACGTCTGTGATAATTATGCAAAAAATCTAGGGCATACAGTTTTAAGGCCACTGTATATTTAATCCCATTGAACATGTTTGGCACCAACTGAATTCTGCCATTCGTCGTAACAATGTTTTTCCCCGTGTTAACTCCAATGTAATCAAACTTATAGAAACCGAAGTTTTGAACATCCCTCCACAAAGTTGGGCAAATTCTGTTAAACATATAGGAAAAGCAGAAGAATCGTATATCCATACTGCAAATAATTTAGAACAAATAATAATTAGAGCAGCGATAGTGATACTGATATATTATAAGTCGGGGCGCGGAAAAACGTCGTAAGAAGGGCAATACGAAAACCGTTATGTAAGGAGGTCAGGCTCTGAGTCGCGCCGGGGTGCAACAACTCCGTTGTTTTGATGCGAAGTGTCCCGTTGCGATGGCGGTTAATGTCACAACTCCGCGGGACTCTGCCGCCTCCCCGCAGCCCCCCCGTTTAGCCACTTTAGGATTTGCCCCGGCTATTTTACCAGGAAGAAATAAGGGGTTGCTAATGGCGGTCGTATCGTAACAGCCGTTGACCTCTTTGCGCGTCCATCGCAAGAGCAATAGGGAACTTGCCCATCTTTTTTTTATTTTACTAAAATGTGTATTAATATATAAATGCACCCTTTCGCAAATATTTATTTATTTGTTCGTTAATTTGTTCATTCATTCATTCATATATTTATTTATTTGTCAAATTATATAATATTGTCAAAAACTTTCAATTAGTAATAACAAAATAAATGAGAACTAAAATTTCAGATTCTCACGAAATTATATATTTTCACATGTTAACGTTGTTGCGAGAATTTAAGTTCAATAAAGGAGGGGTATTTAAATCTAATTGGTCGTTAAGCAATACATTTGAATGTCTCATTTTGTTAATCTCCATGGCTTCCAATAAATTTAGTTTTCTGCTTTTTGTGGCCACACGTAAATTATCAAAATTGTCGTCAAAAATGTAAGTATCAATGTGTGTATATATGAATAAAAAACTTTTATTACGATTTTTGTTTTTGTGCTATGGTTAAACAATTATAGAATTTCTATTGCATGTTGCATTTTTTGTCCATTTCTATGCATACATTCTGAAAATTTTATGTTTTAAAAGAAGAAAAACAAAAAAAAAATATTTAAACAATTACGTATGTCGCCAATAATAACAAAACAACAACAATAATAACAAGTTGCAGGTGCAAGCTAGACTCGTGCTGTTGCTGGTTGCCGTCTTTGGAATACGGACCCTCAGAAGCGAAACGTTCACACTCGGGTACCTCACAGGATCGCAAAGACCGCCAGGTGAGTATTTGCTAACTTAAATTAAAAAAAAATGTTATATTATGATAAAAATTTTAATAAAATATATACAAAAATAAAATAAAAAACAACTATAACGTGCTATAACTAATATTGCCAAAAGTTGCATGTGTTACTGTTATTTCAAAAACATTAGCAAAATGTTATTCAGGAAAGTTGTCTAAAATTAAAAGTTATAACCTGCTATAGTCTGTTCATAGATATAAGAAAGTGACTAGCTGATACGAATTAAGCAAAGACCCGGGCAAGCCGTAAGAATGAAATATGGCCGAACAGGTCCGTCCTTTTCTTAGAATTTAATTTTTTCGGGTTTTGTTTAATTATTATTTGTTCTATATTATTTTCTATATGTTTAACAGAATTTGCCCAACTATGTGGAGGGATGTTAAACACTTCGATTTCTATAAGTTTGAGGACATCGCAGTTAACACTGTTAAACTGTATTTTCTATTACGGACCACAATTTTACCTGAATTTAAATTCCGAAACTTTTGGTAATAATCTTGTTGCATTGACGTGGCCTGGCTCACGTCAAGCCTTACAACTTTCGCATTAAAGATTATTTTCTAACATTTAAAGTCAAAAATAATAATAATAATGTATCGCTAAGTACGGAACATCGTTTTGTTGGGCAGGTGACCGGGAATATTCGCGTCCAGGCTTGACGATCTCGGGGGCCATATCTTTGGCGGTGGAACAAGTGAACGGGGGTCGTTTAGCCCAACTGGGTCACCAGCTGAACTTTGTGGTCGCCGAAACGTACGGCGTGGAAGTCATAAGCGTTCAGAAGACCGCCGAACTGTGGACCAGAAACGTTTCGGCCTACATCGGACCACAGGAGACCTGCGAGCACGAAGCCTTCATGGCGGCCGCTTTTAACGTGCCCATGATTTCGTACGTACGTATTAACGAGTCGCGGTTTAAGAGAAAATGGCAGAGATTATTTTTAAGTTAGTGTGTTTGAAATGTCGTTAATTGAACATACTATTACTACAATTATGTGATAAATAAATTGGTACATTAAAAATTTCAAGAGCTATAGGCAATTAAACATTGTAAAACGTAGTGGTTAGCTTTTTGCTTATAGCTGATAACTTTTTTGAATTAAAAAAAAAAGTTTCTTAAGAAATAAGGATATTTACTAAAAAAAAGTTCTAATTCCCCAATCTGTACCTCCGTTATTAATAATTTTAATTTAACGTTGAGAATTATACATACAAAAATATAGTAAGTTACAATTAAAAAAAGTTTATTGTCTATAAAGCTGAGTTAAAAATAAAAAAAAAGTTTAATCGAAACACATCAAAAAACCGATTCCCGTTGAAATGTTTGACTTAAGTTAATTTTCTAATAAACCAGATCACTGTTAATTAACAACTTTTTCTGGGATTTCCTTTATCACTGCAAATTAAAAAAAAAACATTTCAATAATTGGCACAAAATTTTTTTCACTTCGTGGATTAAATTAACAAAAAAAAATCACCATAATGTTGTTTTTTTTTTAATTGTTATTAACTCGCCATTTTTATGTTAACAAAATGACATTTATTAAGTAAAAAAAAACAAAATGGACTATTTCGATCTTAAAAAAAACAACTCCATGAAGGAACTGTCATTTATGATTTACGACGTTTTCCTAATTTTCAAAACTTTCAAAAAAAAAAAGAGAAAAGTTAACAATTCGTTTAGGACAAATGGTTAATATAATAAACAATGAAATTGTTAATGAAAACTGCCAATAATGATTAAAAAAAAATCATAACTAATTATTTAAACAATAGCTACATGAAGACAGAAAATGACAGTTCTTCGTGAAGTTTTTTTCTAAATATTGAAATAGTTCATTTGCTTATAAAAATTTTATAAACAAATTTTTTCTTAGTTAATAAATGAAAAAAAAACATCACGGTGAATTTTCTTTTTTTTGGTAACTTATTTGGTAAGTATAGTTTACGAGTATACCAGAAATAAATTTAATAATTAATTATTATTTAAATTATTATTATTATTTAAAAAATAATAATTTGCAATGATAAAGGAAGTTCCGGAAAAATTTATTAATTAATTATTAATTAAAGTTAACTATTATAAAAAATTTCAACGGCAATGAATTTTTTTGAAATATTTAGATTATACCATAATTTTTTTAGATTTTTAAATCTACTTTATCTATCCTAAAATTTGTTTTATTGTAACTTGTGACGCCTTGCGCGCCACCTCAATATGGCGCCTGAACGGCAATTTTCAACGTCAAATTAAAATTATTAATAATGGAGGTACGGTTTCGGGAAGAGGAACATTTTTTTTAGTAAATTTCCTATTCTTTAAGGATCTTGTTGAAAATCCAAAAAAATATATCGGTTTTATAACTATAAGCAAAAAACTAAACATTGCTTTTTACCATCTTTAATTGTTTATAACTTTTAAAATTTTTAATGTACCAGCCAACCATGACTAAAGTCATATCATATCTAGAAAATATATTACATATTATAAAATATAAATATATAATATATTAAATATTATATAAAAGAAGCCTCGAAGCTATTTTTTTCTTCTGCAACTGTTGCTGGAAATGAAAGAATGCTACGAAAATTTCTACTCTTCGATGATTTGCGGTGACTTAAAAATTGTGGGACATTTACTAGGTCAGCAGCCAGTAAACACGAAGTATACGAAGTAAACGGAGAGGAAGAACAAATTGACAAATTGTTATTTAATTTTAATTTTTTTTAATTCGGTGTTTCTTCTTGGACTCTTAAAAGCTTAAAAATTGTTGGACTGCGTTATCGGCACGCCAATGTACAGTTCATCCCTCAATATCGTCCCCGCACCTGACACCCTGTCGCTTTATCCCACACCTGACCCCACACACACGGCTTATCCCACTTCTGACGCCACCATCGAGAACGGTACGTGCGTAGTAAGTGTAATGCGTTTCGTGAAGGTCCGCACGGTGATATTTTCAGAAGCGTACCTGCGTATTTTTTTCAATTTTGTTGCAATTTTATTTGTAGTTCTGCCAAAAAAAAAGAAGTTTATATAAACATACGTTTTAAACCTGTCAATCTTTCAGCTACGTGTTAAAAGTTTTTATAAAAGAAATACTTTTTTATCATGTTTTTTTCCAAACATTCCATGAGTAATTATTTTTGAAATAAATTCTCTGGGCCGCATTTTCAGTACTGTGCGCACTACGCGATGTCGGACAAGTCGAAGTTTCCCACTTTCGCGCGGACGAGGCCTCCCGACACTCAAATTTCCAAATCCGTGGCGTCTGTGTTGACGGAATTCAACTGGACTCACGTAAGTATCCGGTACCACCTCGAAAATCTCTAGTGCGAAATGCGTTATACAGATTAATTGTTTCGGTCAGAGTCAGCCAGCTCTATAAAATAATAAGTTATATATATTCGGAAAGCCCATAAAATGTTACAGGGTGTCCCGTATCATAATTCAAAAAATTTAAAAATCCGATGAAGCTAGCGACTCCATTGAATTTCACGCAAAAAAAAACTCCATATAACTATTTTTATTTTCCCGATACCTTTAATATTAACGGACATGCAAGGTAGCTCACCAACGCATCTTTCGTTTCACAAAAAAGTTGCACCGGCAAACCGTAAGCACTCTCGCTTCCCTTAGATTACAGTCCTGTACCTCAAATCGGAAGAGTATGAGTTCGGCAACGTCGCGAAAGCCATGATGAAATTGCTGCCTCAATCGGGAGTGACCATCGCATCGATACGGCACTGGGACAGCCCGTACCATCACGGGTACATGGACAACCCTTTCCGGAAGCTTGTCGAGGAAACCCACAAGTTTACCAGAAGTAAGCGACCCCTGCCCCGTTGCCAGATTTCCATTTTGTATGAAAAATTTTGGATGTGAAATATTTGAATTTTAAATGTGAATGTTATTGGGCCAAGTTATAACGGCTTATTCTACGTCCGAAATAAGCCCTTGTTTTGTATACGGGATGGTTTCTAATTGAATATCGATAATCGAGAGTCCGTATTAAAAAGAAATCTTCATATAAACGTATGTCCTAAACGTCTTAACTTTTGATATATAGCACGTTAAGTTTTCAAAAATAAATGCCTCTTTTCCGCACAGTCATAACATCGCATCGTTAATTATTATTTATTACTTAAATTGTCTACTTATTTTATTAAAATACAGTCGAAACTCTAACGCACTTGAAAAATAACAATAGGCATATGTGTTCTGTAATATTTAATTATTTTATATACACATTTTAACATCTACTTAGGAACATTTTATATAAATATTTAAGAACTACATTTAATGTTTCAAATAATCGATCATTAGTGGCTGGTCATCTTCCAAATCCTGTTCGCATTCTGTCTCGGTAATAAGTCCTGACGATAGAAGTGTAGAATTGTTTCTAGTGTCACCTCTTTCCAAGCTTTACTAATAAAGTTGACCGCATCTAGTATACTAATGTAAAATTTATCTTCGAACTCGATCATTTCCATTAAAATGTTTTTCCTGTATCGACTCTTAAGACTTTTTATTACGCTATGGTCCATCGGCTGTAATACACTTGCTGTTTTGGTTGGAAGAAATGCCAATTCAATATTCCGTAGATTTGGAGTATAGAGATGTACAGGGCGGTTATCTAACAGAAGTAATATTTTCGTCCCCTTCAATTCAGCATCCCATTTCCGTATCTCCTCTTCAAAAATTTGCGATGTCATCGATGCAGACTTGTTTGCCTTGTAAGTGACCGGCAAATGCTTGATGTTTTTAAAACATCGTGGGTTAGTCGATTTTCCAATCACCACTGGCAGTTTTAAATTCTGTTGAAGAAAATCCTGAAATTTTTGTCAATGGTTTTTGGACAAAATTGCACATTATCCCTTGTTTGACCAAGAAATCCTATTTACAGATGGAGCTAACTTTGCAGCAATGCAATCAGAAATGTGGTTCAGCCTTTTTTTCAAAAAGGTTGTTAGGATGTTATGTTATATCATTAAAACTGTCTTCCAATATTTTTTGTTCTGTAAGACGCTAGTAGGTAACTAAAAACGAGGTATTTTGGTGTTACAGATATTAAAAAAATATATTCGATGAAGTTTTCTTTTTAAAACCGACCCAAAAATCGCCTTAATTATTGACATTCAAATTAGAAAACACCGTGTCTAAACATATATCGAGAAATGCCACCTGACGAAGCCACAGACGCTAAAAGGAATCCATCTTAAGATGGTGAAATACACTGTTCAACGTGCCCGTCTAAATCATACATCAAAAATTAAAAAGAAGACCTTGAAACAGAATTTATAACATTGTCATTATGCACTCCGTTTGATATTTATCTTGTTTTTACGCATTTACATCCTGTATAAATATGTTTTTTACAAAATTTCAGTCGTCATTAATCTGGTCTACTGTCTCATATTTCTTGGCCATGATATGGCCGGACATGGTTCTTACCCTTTGAGTTTAGCATCTTGGCCAAATCGTCGTTCCCAAAAACCAATGTACTATAACTCTTTAAAAGAATGTTTTACCGGACTGTTACTGGCAACAGCCAGAAACTGTACACCAAATGGTACTAGGTAAAAATCATCAGGTATTGCTACTATCTACTGATAATTATCACTTTAGCCTTCATTGTCGCCCAAAAAAATTGTCTAAACTGGCATTGTCAAAACTTATCACTAAACTAACCTAAGCTCTTTGATTGGTTGGTTTGATGTGCTGAAATCACAAAGAAAAATTTTGTCATGATTTAATGCCAGTTCTTGCTTCAGAAATAAATGAATAAGCAAACTTTTTAAGCTTAGGGTTTCAAAGCAATCAATCAATCAAAGTAATTTGCAAAATGTGACTACTAAACTAACCAAAACTACACCACTGCCCGCAGTCTACGTCATCGTCGGTCACTACTACGAGCATCTGGGCCTCTTAACTGCAATGGACGAAAAAGGCCTTCTGGATGGAGGTAGGTCTCACACCAATCACGTAATATCCAAAGAGGACCAAACCAGCCACGTTTTAAAAGCGCATTACTTCTCAAAGATTATAAAAATCACAAAACAGTAAAAGGCAAACTTAAGTCCATATGTCACAATACAATATACGGGATGTTCCGTTTAAACAAATATGACGTAGGCTTATATGAAAATTGATGGTGTTTTGTTTTATACGTCACTTGGAAGAAAAACTTGGCAACGAACCCAACATTTTGTATTGTTTTTACCTTGATATGTCTAAAAAAAAAAGTTACAGCAAATTAAAATGTTACCAAGATAAATTGGTTCTTGGTCTACTGTTCTTCCCAAACTGATACATTAAAAAGAAAAGATAGAGAAGATATCAATGTTAGAATAGCAAAATAAGAGCTACTAAGTTCTCTTGAGTCAGCCGTTAGCCGAAACCGAGGCCCAAATTGCCGCGTTTCCAGGCGAATACGCAGTTTTGGGCGTCGACATCGAGCAGTACGACCCCGAGAACCCCTCCAAGTACCTGAGGGGCCTTTTGCAAGACTCCGCCACCCCGCGAGACCCGCGAATCGTTCGAGCTTACCAAAACTATATCGGCGTAGTGCCGTCGAGTCCCCTGGGTTTCGATAACTTCACGCTTCTGGTCAACGCGTACATGGAAAGGCCGCCGTTTAATTTTCCGAACCCGCTGTCCTATTTCGGAAAGGGAAAATTGGTATTCGGACGTTGATTAACGGACGTTATACGGTATGGAAATTGCGGGATTAATATTTCAGATACGGGCGGAGGCCGCCTATCTATACGACGCCGTTATCGTCTACGCCGAAGCGCTGATTAAAGTCATGGATTCCGGTTCCGATCCTAGGAACGGTACGGCGATAATCGAGTCGTTGAAAAATATGCACTACCGAAGCGCGATGGGGTAAGCGCTTAGATAGTCAGCCATAAATAATTCTAATACCCGCTAATTTTGTCTCTAATACCTAAATTACGCTAATTCCCCAACTAATACCTCTAACACCTGCTAACGACTCTAGTAATTCCTATAACAACCGTTAATTCCGTTACTTATACTTCTAATTCGCTAATTCCCCAGCTAATATTCCTAAAATTATAATTAATATAGTTCCTTAGATAATAATCATCAAGGTTACTAATACCTCTATTACGCTATAATTCCCAATTAATACCTACCAATCTCTTTATTAATTCCGTTACTATTGTTTATGTCACGGATACATATAATGCTAATACTAATATTAATTGCTAATACTTACTAGTTATTTCGCCAATACCCACTAATTATGTCACTAGTACCTCTATCACGCCCTAATTACCTAACTAATACCTACTAATTGCTTTAGTTATTTTGCGATTACTCACTAATTTCGCTTCTAATACCTCTACAACGTTCCTTCCCCAACTAATACCTCACATACTTACTATAAGGTTGTTCGGAAAGTCATTTCGTTTTTTCCCGTCAGAGGACTCAATTACGTTTTTTCGAAACCAACTTCACACTTAAGCCGCATAACCATTATATGTCTTGAGAGCTGATATTGCAAGGCTTGTGTGTGAAAAAGTTCCATTAATTCTACGCAGTAGTTTTTGGTTGGTGCCCTTTTAAATATGGAGAGCAATAAGCAGCATTTTCGTCATATTTTACTTTTTTACTTCAGAAAAGGTAAAAATGCTGTCCAAGCGAGAAAAAAATGGATGTGTATGGAGAAGGCGTGTTAACAGTACGCCAGTGCCAGAACTGGTTTGCAAAATTTCGATACGGCAATTTTGATGTCGAAGATGCACCACGGTCTGGAAGGCCGGTCGAAGCTGACAAAGATGCGATAAAGGCATTAGTTGATGCAAATCGGCGAATAACCACACGAGAGATCGGTGAGAGATTAAATTTGTCGAATTCGACTGTTTATGGCCATTTGAAAGGCATGGGCTTAACCTCGAAGCTCGATGTGTGGGTGCCCCATGTCCTTACGGAGCGAAATTTGTGTCGTCCCGTTGACGTGTGTGATTCGCTCCTCAAACGTCAAGAAAATGATCCATTTTTGAAGCGGATTATTACTGGGGACGAAAAATGGGTTGTATACAACAATGTTAAACGCAAGAGGTCATGGAGCGGAAAAGATGAACCGGCTCAAAGCGTGTCAAAAGCCAACATTCACCAAAAAAAGGTGATGCTCTCCGTTTGGTGGGATGTCAAAGGAATCGTTTTTTTTTGAGCTTTTGCCGGACAATACAACGATTAATTCAGAAGTCTATTGTCATCAACTGGACAAATTGAATGATTCACTTAAAGAGAAGAGGCCCGAATTAATCAACAGGAAGGGTGTAGAGTTCCACCAGGATAATGCGAGACCTCACACAAGTTTGGTCACCCGCCAAAAACTTTTACAGCTTCAATGGGACGTACTGCAACATCCACCATATTCTCCAGATCTGGCGCCTTCCGACTACTATTTGTTCCGGTCACTGCAAAATTTTTTGGAGGGCAAAACCTTTACCTCAAATGAAGATGTCAAAAACCACCTGAACTAGTTTTTTGCCAGCAAGGACCAAAACTTTTATGAGAGGGGAATTATGTTACTGCCAGAAAGATGGCAAAAGGTGTTGGACCAGAATGGCCAATACATAATTTAATAAAATATTTATTCATTATACGAAAACTGTCTTTCATGTTCCCCAAAAAAAAAACGAAATGACTTTCCGAACAACCCAATAATATCTGTGGTAATGCGACTAATAACCCCTACTACCGACCAATTCAGTTACTGGTACCTCTATTACCATCTTATTCCCTAATTAATACCCACTAATCGGTTTACTATTACCCACTACCTCCGTTACTATTATTCGATTAATCTCTAATTTCGCTTTTAGTACCTCTACTACGGTAATTCCCCAGCTAATACATCAAATACCTACTAATATCTTTAGTAATTCCTCTAATAACCACTAATTCCGCTACTATATCTGCAATTAGGTTAATTTCCTAGGTAATTCATCTAATACTAGTACTGCAAATTAAGTCCGTTAGTTGTACAGCTATTAGGATCTAATTTCCTAACTAACACTCACTAAATTCGTTACGCTGTAATTCCCCAACTATTACCTTTAATACCTACTGATTCCTATAACCACTAATTCCGTTACTAATACTTCTATCACGCTACAATTTCCAAGTAATACATTTAATTCCGTTACTAACATTTCTATTACTATTATTATTATTATTAAATTCTTGCCCGAAGGATGAATATCAGATAAGTTCAGCACTTCGAATTTTAGAACAATTAACATAGAAGGAGTAACCCAAATAAATAACTTTTCCTTTTCTAGCGTTGGTAGTTTCTAACTTAGGAACATATAGATGGCACCACGAGTCCTCGAAATAGTAAAACGGCCTTTTCAAAACCCGATTTTTTCGGCAGTTACATGGTGTACATAGACGAAAATGGGGACGCCGAGGGCAATTACACCCTGCTAGCGCGGCAGCCGTTAAAAGGGGGAAATCAAGATGATCGGTACGGATTATACCCTTCCGGTCTCTTCGCATTGCCCCGCGGCGCCTCCAGATTGCCGGTAAGTCCCGTTTTACTACACCCCCACCACCCCTCCGACTACCAAATTAATTCATTTATTTAATCGCGCTTAACACCAGCTTCGTACTTAACTCCCCCCATGCGTAATTAAAATAATTAATTAAAAATTAGCGTCGTTGTTACCGAAAAAAAGCGTGAGGATAACAGTAAATACATAAAAATTTTCGATAATTACACACCTGTTGTCAATCATCCCGCATATAAAATCTTTCGTAAATCTACATTTGCTTTACTTCGAGAGCGAATTCATCACATCCATTCGAATTCGACAACCTTTCGAACATAATTCGTTACCCAGAATCAAATTCAAAAACTTTAAAAAAACCGCACCAACTTTCTGAGGCGGAAAAATCAGTTCTTCCAAAAGGTTCCGACTCCGGTATATGGTATATGAACTTAACGCCTTCTTCTTCTTCCTACTTTAGTCTAGGCAAATTGCCTGTTCATTTTCGTCGTCTCTGCCTATCCCACTGCCAGGTTGTCACTCCATCGTTTTCGGGGGCGACCTAAGCTCCTGCGACCCAATGGTGATTTGTCGCGTGCAATTCTGACTATTCTTCTGTTGTCCATTCTACTAATATGCTCGTTCCATTCTTTCTTTCTACGCAATACCCACGCATTAACGTTTTCCACCCTGCATGTTCGTCTTATATTTTCGCTCCTCTCTCTGTCCAAGAGCGTTTTTCCAGTTATTCTACGAAGTATCCTCATTTCGGTTGTCTCTAGTAATTGTTTAGTTTTCGCTGTGTCTGGTCGGGTTTCTGCGGTGTATGTCATGGTTGGTCTTACTATTGCCTTGTAAATTCTCGATTTGGTTTCGATTTTAATGTTTTTATTTCGCCAAATTGTGTCGCTTAAGCATCCTGCTATTCTTGTTGCCCTTGTTGTTTGCTCTCTGACCTCTGCCTCCACATCACCATAACCCGAGATTTCTATGCCCAAATATTTAAATTTCATTACCTGCTGGATGATTTTGCCTTCAGCTTCTAATTTGCATCTTAATGGTGTTTTTGATGTTGTCATGCATTTAGTTTTTTGGGCCGATATTATCATATTAAGTGATTTGGCAGTGCAGTTAAATCGATGTAATAGTCGTTGCAGATCGTCTTCACTTTCAGCCACCAGTACGGCGTCATCAGCGTAGCACAGAATATTGATTTCATGGTCGCCCATTCTGTATCCTCTCAGTAATCGTACATTTCTTATTACTTCGTCCATGATAATGTTGAAGAGAAGGGGACTCAGGGAGTCTCCCTGTCGGATACCTCGGCCCACTGCTATTGGTTCAGTCAGGATCCCATTTATTTTTGCTTCGATCTGGTTTGCTTCATATATATTTACTATCGTTTTGATGAGGTTGTGTGGAGTTTGTCTGTTGTAAAGGAGGTGTAAAACGTCTCTTAATCGCACTCGATCGAACGCTTTTTCCAAATCAATAAAACACATGTATGCCGGTCTGTTGTATTCAATTGATTTTTCTGTTATCTGTCTTATGACAAAAACCGCATCTGTACATGATCTGCCCGATCTGAATCCTTGCTGTTCGTCGGCTAAGGGTGTTAAGTTGTTGATTTTGTTTGCTATAATTTTTGTTGTAAGTTTCAGTGCAGTGCTTAAGAGATTTATACCTCTGTAGTTTGAGGGTACTTTCTTATCTCCCTTTTTGAACATAAGGATAGTGATGCTAGTTCGCCAGTCATCGGGTATTCTATGTTGGTAGAGAATTTTCCGAGTGAGGGATGTTAGCTGCTGTGCAAGACACGGGCCACCATATTTAAGTAACTCGTTTGGGATACCATCTTTACCTGGACTTTTCCTGTTTTTTAGTTTTTGAAGAGCTGCAGCTACGTCGGCTACCTCAATTTCTGCGTTGCGATTCGTCACTATTTCGGGTGTATTCAGTTCAATCTCAGGTTTCTCTGGTTCATACAATTCGGTTAGGTAGTTAACCCAGGTTTCCTTCGTTATCTGATTTGTTTCGACTAGTTCGTTCACTTCCTTTCTTTGGGTTCTAATAAATCGCCAAATTTGCTTTTGGAGTCCATAGAAGTCTTCCTCCATTCGCTTTGAAAAAATTTCCCAGTGATGGTCCTTTGTTCGTCTTACTAATGCTGTTGTTTCGTTTCGGATTCGTCTATATATTTCGTAGGATTCTGGTGTTCGTAAAGTCCTGTAAGTGAGGTACGCTATTTTTTTTTCTTTACATTTTTCCTTAATTTCTGGGCGGAACCATGGAGTTCTGGTGTTATTATTATTCATTTTTACTGTTCGGGTACCTAGAGCTTCATATGCGGCTTCTTTAATGTTGGTCTTCAGTTTTTCCCAGGAAGCATTTATACTATCCTCTTCTTTTATTTTGTTTAGTTGGATTTTTTCTTTCAGTCTCCTTTCATATAGTTGCCTTATCGATGGGTCCCATAGTGCATCGATGTTTATTTTAGATTCCTGTGTTACGTGTTCTGGACTCTTTCAATGTTTAAATTTTATTTTGATTTTTGTGAGTAGCAAGCTGTGGTCGCTTCCCACGTCGGCAGAGTTCAGTGTCTTTACGTCGAGTATCTGGAGTGGGTGGATGTGTCTGGTGGTAACAATATAGTCAATTGTAGACCTTCAAAAGTTCTTATTCAAAATAAGTATCAATTTGTAATAAACATTCCCGAATTTCAGTTTTTGTTGGTAGTAATTATTGGAGGAGGGTTAGTCAAGAGCGAAGACGATATACTTTGGGACACACCATACCAGAATATGATATGAACCGAATCGAAATCCGAGTCGAATTTTTTTGGAAATGAAATTCTTTAGGAACGCAGCTACTATCTAGTAGATGATGGTATTTTTTTATTGTTTCAATACTGCAGATCCTCCAAATGACCGAATCTATCGACTGGATTGGTGGGAAACCGCCTATCGCAATCCCGGCCTGTGGCTTTGACGAAGAAAAATGCATAAGTAAGTATTTTTCTAATTTAAAAAATCGAATTTCAAGTTTGTTTCTAAAAAAAGTTCAATGGATGGTTAAAAAACCTGACAAGTTAAATATCGATTTGTTTATTGATTAAACTGTTTTGTTCCGTCTAGTTTAAAATGGAAAAAATTCGAAAATTCGGACATTTTTAAAATGGGCACCAACCACGAGGGGAATGCGATTTTTCAAAAATTTCCGTCATAAAACTTAAGATTAAGTAATACTACCATGAATTTTTGTGAGTGATATCATCTTATCTTTCTGATGGAAAGCAACGTTTTTGTGCAATAATGAAATGTCAACTTTACAAATGGTAATAGATACTAGCAAAACGCCTCTTAAGTGTCAGCTTTTTGTTCCCACGACTAAAAATTAGAAATTCATAACTCTAAAAATCCCTCCAGTCGGATAATTATGCACATATCACTACCTCCTCAAATCTGCTTCGAACTAGGAACTTTAACTACACTAAAAACGTGAAAATTTCTCGTGACCCAAGTTTTTTCAAATTTTAAAAATTTTAAAGGCAAAATAAAATCGTTTTTTATGAAACATTTGTCTTTATTCTGTAATGGAATACAAATATATCTACTATTTGAGGGTTGTCGTTATCATCCAATTTACACTGTACACTTTGTAGCCAAGTTGTAATATAACTTTTTGAAGGGTCCGATATGCAAATTGCAATACTACAAACACCGACGAATGTTCTCCACGATGTCATTTTCAAACCTTGACAAGCTGGACATTGACGTATCGAATAAAGGTTGCTTTACAATACAGACATGCGCATTCGGTTTCACACATATCCATACGTCTTAGGATCGAACTCATCCTCCTTCTTGTCCCTTAAAGTGTTCTTGGAAATAATTTCAATTTACAAGGAACGACTATAAATGTTGCTGCAAGTTTGCTGTTAAAAATAATTAATGATTATAATAAAAATACTGCTACGAAACCTTGCTAAAAGGGAACATTATTTACAATAAATATGATTTTTTAAGTAAATGTTGAAATGTTCAAAAAAAGTTCAAATAGGTTTCTGCTGTGAGGTTATCGTCTATAATAATATGACGAACAAAACGATATTCATTGTCTTGGCTCCAATACCGATAGTTTTGAACAGTTTGTTCATTGTTGAGTGTAAATGTACCGGGTGGCCCATTAATAAAGAACGCCGGCCATATCTCAGGGACCGTTAGTCCGACAACTTAGAAAAAATATATTTATAGGTAGCTGGAAATTATTTTTAAGTTCATACTTTTTTACATAGGTATAATAGAAGCATTATCAGAGATAATCAAGAGTTGACATATTATGAAGGGGTGATAATTTATAGTGAAAATTCGATACTACTTCATGTAACGTAACTGAGATAAAAAGATAAATTGATGTCTGAGCTATTGGCAATTATTATGGATAAAATAAAATTTTTATAGGAGCGCAGATACTTTCGAAAAATTCGATTTCATCGATTTTCGAAAGTAACAAAGTCTGTATGAAACACAACACAATCTCGATTCTTTCCTCTTAAACTGACAATAATAAAATCATTTCTGGTCTGTTTTCGTTTTCTCCTGTTTTCGAAAATTTGAAGACCAACCAAAACTGGGCAACTCGAAAACTGTCCGAAACACAACTCAATCTTCATTCGTTTTTTTCTTCAAACTGACAATGATAAAATTTAATCCGATTGTTTTTTTTTTGTTTTTAAATATTTTCGAAAATTTGATTTATTCGATAAAAAAAAACAACTGGCGAATTCGAAAACTTTCGGGACATCAATGTTTTTTTTTCTTACAAAATCCCTCACCGTGACGAATCTCCTGCAGCTTACACGCTGGTGATAACGTCGGGGGTTGCGGGGGGCGTAGTCGCGACGCTGTCGGTAATCGCCCTGATACTTTTCCGGAATTGGAAATACGAACAGGAGCTCGACAGTTTACTCTGGAAGGTGGATTACAGGGACATCCAAACGAGGGAGGAGTGTTGCAGGAACAGCGCCGGCAGCAGGATTTTACACGTGAGTCGAATAATCGCCAAGCCGCAAATTCGACACGAATAATAACAACAATAATATAATATAAAATAAAAATATAAAAATCTTTCTATTAATCTTTCTATTAATTAATTAAAAAAAAGGTCAAAACGCAAAAAGAAAATCCTGAAACCGCCCGTTGACGTTACTGTTTATTGCTTTTTTTAAATTTTACACGCATATACATAATGCATTAGCAATAATACCGGTTTTTTTAAACTTTTATTTATTTGTTTGGTAAGTAATGAATATTTTTTCACAAAGTCTTTGCAGGACAAAAAAAATCGGATGTATTTTTATTTTGAATCTGATATTTAGTTCAACAGTTAACAGTTATCTTCTGTTTTTTGTAGCCCAATATTTTAAAAACAAATCTGCCTGATTTGTCTTATGTATGTATATGACCAGCTACAAACCATGTATGTGCAAAATAGTCTCAATAAATATGATTATTACACAAAAGATAGTTTGCTTGGCTCCGCATAGGTGGCGCCATTTGAACTGCGTTAATGTATACAGCAATTCTGTTTCAAACGATGAACTGTCATTTCAGGGTAACCGGCACTCCGCGAAAACCAGCCACGTGTCGCTGAGCTCGAATCCCGATACTGATTTCCGATACTCTACGTTGTTCGCTCCCGTAGGCGTCTACAAGGGTAGAGTGGTCGCCATCAAGAAGCTGAACAAAAGATCGGTGGACGTGACGCGGGAAATGAAAAAGGAATTGAAAATGGTGCGCACTAACCTCGACCTCGTGCCGCTACTGTCCTATGACGTAATTTGCAGATGAGGGATTTGCGTCACGACAACCTCAACCCCTTCGTGGGGGCGTGCACCGAGCCTCCCAACGTCTGCGTGATCACCGAGTACTGCCCCAGGGGTAGTTTGAGGGTGAGTTTTTCAAATTGCCGCTGTTGTGGTGCGAATGCAAGTGTTTAGGCGCGACACGAGCGGAGTAAGGAGGGTTGCCTAAATATGAACGGTTGATATGGTATAATACGACCAAAAATATAGTGCATTTATTGTTTTGACGTTTTAAGTATTTTACAGTACCTTAACCGTGGTAAAACCTATCCCGACAGATGTTTATTCTGCATTAAGTAGGTCTTAAACATTAGTTGTGTGAAAGAGTTGTGCATTACCATGAAAATATAACCGCGGAAATCTTTGAGGACTGGTTTAAAAATAAACTCCGAATACTTCTTGCAATAACGAAAAAATTAAAGAATTTCTGTACGAAAGTGATTTATATTTTAAAGAGAGCTACACGAAAAACCCACTTCTGGAATTATTAAAAATAAATTTTTTTAATAAAAACAACAAAACCGACATGAAATCTTGAGATTACCCCCGTATCATTGTAGGTATATTTAACACGATTGAGATGATTTCGTCTGAGTCGAAAGCGCATAAAAGAAGAAAATATTTATCGAGAACGATTAGTCGCGGAGTTGATAATTGAAGTAGGTCACGACAGTATTGATAGTGACGATTTTTTAAGTGTCTGATACTTTATTATTATTATTACTTTTTTATATACATGTTTCAAGAATTGCTCAGCGAAAAAGATTGAATATATACTTATACCCCGCTTGTTAGTGTTTCCTAGGATGATCCTGGAATGGGGTAAGGCTCATCTCCGCAGGGTGTTCTATAAGGGACTGCGGTTTTGGAGTAATAAACATTAGGCAAAGTTAATCACGGGGTCGGATGTAAAAGCACTATATTTCTGGTCGAAGTGTAACTAAGTATTGTGTGAGGAAATAATTGCACAGAGTGGTAATGGCGTGCAAGGTTATAGTGTAACAATACTTAAATTTTCATAAATGCATAGTTAAATTGATACATTTGATAGTCCAGCACTGGCAACATTGTCTCACCCGTCAAGATATTTGCATGACAACGGTGCCATCTATTGTCACTTGAATGAGGTATAGTTATCGCATTACCTTTCTTTGATGACGTCACGCTAGTTTCAAAGAACGTACTTCTTACGTTATTTTTAGCGATGATCCCTAACCAAAACGTATAGAGTGATATTTATGTGATATTTTTGTAGCTTGATCTCTTTCCAATCGAAGAAAAAAGCGAAAATATTCAAAACTAAAGGCTTTTTCAATAAGAGGTGTTATTTTTATTTCGGTAGATGTCACTTTTAAAACTGTAATTTTTTGACATCTGGCAAGTAGAAACTACGCTATTGATAAAAATGAAGCAATACACGAAAATTTGGCTTTTGAGTCGTCCCGAAACACCTTATCGGTCCGCAGTCCTTGAGGTGTTGATACAAATTAGTGAGGAATGCAACTCAAGAAGAACTGAGATCTTGTAATTTAACCCCTTGGGACTTTTTCCTTGGGGGCCACGTGAAATAACCCAACGTCTATCCAAGACCTCAAAGATGAAATTCGTGAAGTTGTTGATGGCATACAGTAGACACTTTGCGATTTGATGATGGAAAATTTCATGAAAAGGATATGGCCCTGTAAGCGTAGGTGAGGTCTTCATTTGGCCGATAGTGTTTTCCATTATTAATGGTATACCTTCCTCTTTTCTTTTCTTTGAAAATTGAAATATGAAATTGAAAATTGAATTGATATAAGTTGACATGATATGATAATTTTAGATAAATTGGTACCTTTAAAAATTAAAGTAATATTTTTATCCAAAAACGAATTTTTTAATAATCAGCAAATATATGTTTTTTTGCAACCAGAAGGGAGTCATTGCAAATGGGTATACTTCCGACTATATACCGTGTACCTCCTTTACATTACGTGTTCATTATTGCTAATTTTGTTATGAGTAGAAATATAAAGCACGATGGGCTTCAAACACCACAAAATTGGCAAGAACAGCGATAAGAAAATACTGGTCTAAGAATCCTTTAATCATTTACCTGGGTAAAACAAGGTTTGACACCCACAGTACTTCGCCCAGAGGATGGTCAGATTGCTGCGAAAGGTGTAGAACAACACATTAAGATACAACGGCAGAACATTTGCACAGTGATTCAACGGTTGTCTTCTACCTAATATTCATGTGATTCAGTGATCACAGTCGTCAGTTATGTCAGACTGTTTACATTTCTTTAAATGCCCCATCTGTCGTGAGCCGATTAAAACTTCTGTTACAGCCTGTTTAACTTGATTTGATCTGTATGCGAAATAATCATTTTTCCATAACGGCCCTATTTTTAGGACATCCTCGAGAACGATGACGTCAAACTGGACGCCATGTTCGTCGCGTCGCTTGTCGGCGACATCTTGAACGTACGTAAAAGCACGGGCGCGCAGTGGAACGAGACAGAAATTTTGTTGGACATCGGGCAATATTTCTTGTGATTAAACAAAATTTGAAGGATGGAAAAATGTATCTCGGACTTATATAAAATGAAATAGTGTATTATAAAGGAAAGGCACACAAAAGTGGAATGTTAAGGTTTATCAGCTGTCTAGAAAGCCCTCTAGTATATTAAAAATTTTCAATTAACGTGTAATATAATAATAATAAAATAATTTAAACATTAATTCGAAAACGGCCAATAATAGCCAACAGGACGTTGGTAAGCCAAAACGGCCTAAGTAGCATAGTAATGACGGTTCAATAGCAATTTCGGCCGTTTTTGCACGTAAATTTCCATAAGAAAATTTAAGGTTCATATTAGCGGGAATTGGTCCGCTCACGGCCATCCATCTATTTACCTACCTAGGAAAAAAAAGATGAGACACCATTGTTAATATCTAACACATAATTACTAATTGGCTTTAATATGCTCGTTGGCTCGGCGATAAAGTCGGCGTTCAACACCGGAAGGTTCCCGGGTTCGGTCCTCGGTAGACGCGAAAAAAGTGAGTCACGTGACTAAATGTAATAGTGGGATGTGAGTAGTTGCGAGAAGCGGGTGAGAGAGGGGTCGAGGCTTCTTTATAATATTAAATATTAAGAGAGAGATGCTAATTAAATATATGAACGGAATCTTAAATTTTCTTATGGCGATTACTACTCGACTGGCCTAGTATTACGCTAAACTCAAATTTTGATAACACAGTTCGACGTGATTTTATATTTTCGAAAACAGCTGATTTTAGACCTCTGCAAAATAGACCCCATACTACCATATTCACTTCAGCACAACACAAAAATTTAGCCCCAAGTTCAACATGGGACTCGTTCCACTGCGAGGCGGTTGAATTCCAACGTACGGTGCGCGTTCCAGGGTATGATCTACCTCCACGACTCGCCGCTGCACCATCACGGAGCCCTGCATACCTCCAATTGCCTCGTGGACTCCCGCTGGGTGGTGAAGATATGCGACTTTGGCCTCACCGACTTCAAGAAAACGTCAGCAGACTGTCTCGATGCGGACTCGTCGAACGCTGAACGCAAATGTCACAGTAAGGCCTATCCCAAACAAGCCGTATTATGCAACATTTGCAAATATATCAATAAAGTTTTCTTAGTCATTTTTAATAATTTTTACAATTAACGCCTAAATAAAACTTACTAATGTATACCCCGCAATCAATAATTTGTAACATTATGAAAATGTTCATACGTATATAAATGTACAATTGTAAATATATTTTTCTACTTCCGTCTGTAAAATGCCTAATTACACACCGATCTAGCGTGCGATAAGCATCACATTTCAACGTCAGTTTCGCGCGCATCCGAGCCACTTCGAACATTTCCGGGATTTTACCGCACGCGTTCGGGGGCAATCGGATGTTTTCGGAGATATTTCCCACGCTTTGAATTTTGACGTTTGTCAATTCTGACGGTCACGTGAGTGAATGTATTCGTGTTGTTTTGCGAGTCATGGAGTCATGGAGTCACTCGTTTACCGCACTTGTTGCATAATATAATATTTTTTAGATTCACCTCTCAATTATACTCCAGTCATGTATAAAAAATTGCACATTTGTTTATTTTATTTCTTTTAAAAAATTGGAATAATGCCACTTGGTTATCCGTGGAAATGTTAATCATAATGCAGCAACTCCAAACAAGTAACGGTACAACTATATTCTTTTTTTTTTCGCAGTTCTAAATCTAAAATCAGAAGTAAACAAAATAAGTCTAGTCATGTCTTATGTGGTGCCGAGTTTTTAACTCTCTTCGTATGTCTCTTGAAGCTGAGTGTATTTTTATAAGAAGGTGCCAATTATCATACGGAAAGCCTTATAAAGAGCACAAGGACCTCGGAGTGTGAGTAAGTTGGTGAAATTTTCTTTTGTAATCTCCCTAATTGACTAAATTAACAAGTTGGTACTATCGCTTCCTTATCTGAGAGTGTTTTCAGTATCGATTTGGTTAAAAGTATGACGACATTAAAAAAAAAAAAACACTCTTGCGTATGCTCAATCGTAACGATCCACGGTGGAGAAAGTAGATTTAATTCGCATCGCATTTGTATGCCATTCACTCAATTTGTTGGAGCAATTTTCACGATGTTTTTCTCGACACAGTTCGACAATCAAACAGCATTTCTTGACCCGACAAACTCGCAGAAGCGATTGCTTTTCCCTACGAAAGTAGATATAGAGCGAGGGTTCTGAGACATCTCCATATCCGTTAAAAGTAAAGTTGGCTGAACTGAGACGGGAACCTGAACCTGAAACCTGAAAAACGTTCAAATTTTCGCAGTGTTTAATGATTTATGACAGCTGTTTCGGCAACACCGCGTCTGTAACAAATACAGAGTATGACAATATTCCGACACCGATATATATATAAACAGGTAGTAATAGTCTTTTAATTGGCGGTAATTGATCATTAAGTAATAGGTTCCAAGGTTCATTTTGTTAATTGTTAATGTTAATGTTTGTTAAGTTGTGCATTTCTGAATTTAAATGAATGGTATAGTTAGACTCCAAACTTTTATTTTCATGCGCCCTTTTATGTTCCTTAATGCGTTTCTTAAATGTTCTACCTGCTTGACAGATATAAATTTTGGGACATGATCCACAAACTCGTAGAAGCAATTGTTTTGAAGTTGATCCGCTTTCCGCTACGAAAGTAGATATAAGCCGAATGTTCTGAGACATCTCCATATCCGTCAAAAGTAAATTTGGCTGAATTGAGACTGAGAGAACCTGACAAAAGCCGAAAATCCGCTTTTATTTAGCCACATGAGGGCTTGGCTTGGCGTCCGGTGAAAAATCCAAGTTTTCAGATCGGCTGTATCGGGCGCCCGAGCTGCTGCGGCTGGACCGCGAGTGCGACTCCGCGCATGGCACCCAAAAAGGAGACGTGTATTCCTTCGGGATCATCCTTTACGAGGTGTACGATCGTCGCGGACCCTTCGGGAAGGTTCCGCTGTCTCCACGTCAGATTTTGGACCGCGTTGTTCACTGCGACGATCCGTCGGCGTCGTTTAGGTATTACGCGACTCCATTAATACGCGAAACTTCACTGGTATAGTGCAACACACAATAAATAGTCAAGAGGAGGGGAGAAAATGTAAAGAAAAGCAGTTTTTACAGTAATAGAGAATTTATTGCCAAATACATTTTTTTTTTTAATTTTGAGAAAGAGACGCGTAAACTGTTACAAATGTTTTTTTTTTAATGAAACTTCCACTTCCTTCTCATTTAAATTGAAAAATACTTGTCTGGAACATACTTCCTTGTAACAGTCAAAATTTATGAACACCCAAACAATATATAAACAGGGACAGGGCAGAACAAGAAGCCAAGAGTATGATTGACGAAATTGTATTACAGTAGCCAGAATTCTAGGTTATTGCACGGACCTTAACAACTTTCTCATTTACATTTTCAATGCAACACCCTGTATAATAAACAATTTCGTTGCCAGTGGCGTACTTTTAACTTTTTTTTATATAATTTATTTATATAAGTTTCGGTGGTTGTTCGCCATTATCTGTTTTTTATCTCTTATGCAATTGACGTGCAGGCCTTGCCTGCGTTCGCTCACCGACTGTCCGGACTTCGTGAAGAGCTGCATGAGGGAGTGCTGGTCCGAAACGCCGTACGATCGGCCCGACTTCAAGACAGTACGTTCCAAACTGAGACCGTTAAGGAAAGGAATGTGAGTGCGCCCACTATCTCCATAAATGTTTTTTTAATTTGCCGTTTGGGACATTTTAAAAGAGCAAGGGGTCATTTTATTGCGCTCGTAAGTCGTAGGGGACGGACGTTGACAGAGTTGGAGGTTATATTTGAACCAGATCTGGCCACGGTAACCCTCAGTTTTCGTCCATCTTTGCTCAATTTTCGCGCTTCACTATTAAATACTACAAGTGTCTGAAATTTGCAGCTATCGACCTGAGATTTAGCTTTCAGATAGAGATCCACCGCGGAAACCTTTTTGTCGAAATTAAATGAGCTCCGTCTACGGAAAGCATTTTTCAAAATTCGTTTAAAAAAAAATGTTTTTCTCGATAATTGTTGGATGTAGCGGAAAACCGATTAAATGAGGAGACTCGCGAGATCGGAAACTGTACTCTCTACCGAGGGCTTTTTTTCGATAATGTACAGGGTGTGCAAAAAACTGTCGGCAGGAAACCGAACATCTTCGATAACATGATGGCGCTCATGGAGAAGTACGCCAACAACTTGGAGGTGCTCGTCGACGAAAGGACCGATCAGCTCCAGGAGGAGAAAAGAAAAACGGAGGCTCTACTGTACGAGATGTTGCCCAAGACCGTCGCCGACCAGTTAAAGAGGGGCCATAAGGTGGAGGCGGAAAGCTTCGACTGCGTCACCATCTACTTCAGCGATATCGTGGGGTTTACTAGCATGGCGGCCGAGTGCACGCCGCTCCAGGTAAGACGGTGGGCCAGGATGACCCGAAAAGTTTGAAAAATTCCACATTTTTCTTTTCCTTTTTTCCAAGATATAATGATAATAATAATAATAATAATAATAATAATAATAATAAATTAATAAGATGAAACAATAGAAAGATAACATTGAATCATTTGAGAAGTTGGCAGTTTCAACTTGAAAAGAATTTACTTGAATGTGATTTTACTGAATCGGGTATACTGTTAAAAATTACAACGTCGTTATAAGAAAATGATCGGCGAAACAAAGATAAACGATATCGTGGCAGTGAGAGTCTGTAGGGGTGCCTTAAAGCCACTGATATTATATTACGAAACTGTAATATACCTTGTAAGTAGGACGGATTCGATGTGCTAATTATTTGGAAAACCGTAGACGCCAAAAAGTACTTGAAAGTACTGTTAATTTTTAGCCAGTTAAGTTCCCGGATATTGTGGGAAATCCTATCAAATTTACGCAAGCCGAAAATGAATCTGCAACAGCTGTTTTCCATTTTTTGCAATCTCTATTTTTTAATACTATCACGACATGGGTAACACAGGACTACACCATAGTTCATAATCGAAAGGACAAGTGATTGAGTTAAAAGTTTCCGTGAACTGAAATTGAGGACAGTTCTATGCCTGTATAAATGGCACACACCAACAAAGATACATATTCCACGAATCTAAGCCTACAATCAAATATAACACACATATGGATGCTCATTGTCTCATAAACTGCCCTAAAAAATAAAATTGTGCCCTTCTCTGCCTCCTTATTTTATAAAAATAGATTAAGGTACCTATATAATGGTAACATTATGGGTTTTTTTATTCGCCTCCTCTCAGTTTCATGCCGGGTTTTTGATTTACAGATTTTTCCATTTTACCAAAATTTATAAACAAATGTTCGACAAAAGTGTATTTAGGCGCTGTTTCTCAAGCGAAATTTGAAAATACAATTATGAACCAAATAGAAAATACTTTGATGAGGCCGATAAATGAGGAATACGCGGTATATGGCATTTCCTCAGTGTTAAACATGATAATTTTAAAATCTATTTTGCAGAAACTGCAACAAATTTCATAATTTGTTGCTTTCGTCTGATCTAAAATCGCAACAGATTAAGCGTTGATTTACAATTAAACTTATTATAGTATTATTACTACTATTATTATTATTAAGTTAAAGTTGATACGGTTTAGTTTTTTTTTTTATAATATTTTGTTTTTTTTTTCAAGTCGGTTCCTACAAACACTACAGATTTGCCATTATCTCAGAATTAAGAATACAAGTTGATATTTTTCTGCATTATTTACTGATCCAAAGGCAGGTACTACAATTTCTGGTGCAAATATTTATCACAGAACGAGTTTTAGATACCGCATTTTGTATTAAAATGCCTCATAAACAGGATGAAGCATTAAGGTATTTTACCTTTTCACGAACTTCATAAAAAATCGTCAGGCACGCATTGCCGACAAAACGCAGGCGTTAAATAAGTTTTCAAACGCGCGGTTTTTGTTAGGTGGTGAACTTTTTGAACGACCTGTACACTTGTTTCGACTCGATCATCGAGAACTACGACGTGTACAAAGTGGAGACGATAGGGGACGCGTACATGGTGGTGAGAGATTTTAAATTTGATTTCGAATTTTGAAAGAGAGAGTCAACGGTAGGGTAGTAGTTTCTAGAGAAAATGATAAATATACTGGCTCAAAAAAGCGCGACGAATATGACATTCATTTTTTTTTTAATTGGATACCCTATTTTTAAATTTTGTTTGGAAAAATCTCGATCCTACAACTTTTATAAAGTATATCATATATCTATTTTTGATACTATGGTGTTTATTTTAACTTTTCCAATATTTACTCTTCTTTCTGACATTTGCTACAACATCAGTTGGACATGATAACTGACTAAAATTCATAAAATTTATTGTTGTGTTAATAATTAGAATATATATATATATATATATATATATATATATATATATATATATATATATATATATATATATATATATATATATATATATATATATATATATATATATATATATATATATATATATATATATATATATATATATATATATATATATATATATATATATATATATATATGATGACACTATACTCCGGGATATCATCCGGTCGCTCGTTGAACTCCGACTGGAATCCTGCATCCAACTGGAATCCTGCAAATCCTGCATTCGACTGGAATCCTGCAGACGTTTCGCCAAAATCTCACTTGGCATCTTCAATGCTCGCGCTCCGAAAACACTTCGAACACTGGGAGGTTATCGGCGGTGCGTGCGGTATTTATACTCTGCGCCGGAGATGGTAACGGTGCTGCTTGTGCGTGGGGGGAGGTGGCTCCGCCCCCTGAATTGTCGCGTTGTTAATTTCGCCCGATCGTAGTTGCGATGTCCCCGTTGGCTGCTCCGCATCACTCTGCTGTTTGATTATCGTTCTCCACGTGTTGGATAAATGCAGAGCGTCGTCTCTCGTATTGAGGTGTCCGGACTTTTCTATTTCGATGGCCTCTCGTATAATCCTAGTCCTAAAATCAGGAATATTAGCTATTTGTTTGCAAGTGCCGAAATCAATTTTATGGCCTGTCTGATGTTGGTGCTGAAACAAAGCAGATGTTGTTTGTTTGTTTCTTATGGCTAAACGATGTTCCTCGAGCCTGGCTGAAATCCTTCTGTTGGTCTGTCCCACATACGTCAGGCTGCACGATCCGCATGCTACACTGTATACTCCTTGGTTTTCCAGAGTAATTTTTTGTTTTGGGTTTCTTAGTATTGCTCCGATGGTATGGTCAGGTTTGTATGCCGTTGATATGTCGTGTTTCCGTAATATTCGGCCGATTTTGTCAGTAACCCCCTTGATGTATGGCAGGACAGCGATCGATCTTCGTTGGGTCTCGTCCTGCACTCTCTGCTGCGGCTGTTGTTGTTTACTGATTGCCTTGCTGATAGTGCGCCTTTGGTATCCGTTTTGTCGAAGACGGGTACTAATTTTCTTCAGTTCTTTATCTCTGTTCCTCTCGTTTGTGAGCCTGAAGGACCGAGCAATTAATGTATTTGCCACTGCCTGTATCTGTGATGGGTGGTGATGAGATTTAGCGTTCAGATATCTATTAGTGTGTGTTGGTTTTCTATAGACAGTTTGTTCCTAGTGTCCATCTTCGGTCCTTGTGATGTGCACATCTAAAAAGGGCAGACTGTTATCCTCTTCAAGTTCTATTGTAAATTGAATCCTTGGGTGAATGGAATTCAGATGATCTAGAAATTTCAAAAGCTCCTCCTTGCCAAAAGGCCATACAACAAATACGTCATCAACGTATCTTGTCCATAGTTTTGGCTTCAGATTTGCCTTCTCTATTGCTTTCTTTTCGAAGTAAAGTAAAAGTAAAAAAAGAGGTTGGCAATCACAGGTGAGAGAGATGATCCCATTGCTGCTCCATCTATTTGTCGGTAAATTTTCCCGTTGTGCATAAAGTAAGCGTTTTTCAGGCAATGTCTTGACAGATCCATTATGTATGGCGGAAGATCTTCGTTTTCTTCTATAAGCAAGAGTGCCGCTTCTACTGGAATACTCGGGTAGAGGGATTTGACATCGAAACTTGCCATAATGTCGTCCTTGTCCATCCTGAGAGAACCTAAAATCTGAGTGAAATGTTCTGAGTTTTTAACATAGGAATCTGCCTTTTCCACTATAGGCTGAAGTGCACTGGCCAGATGTTTTTCCAGCTTGCATATATATATATATATATATATATATATATATATATATATATATATATATATATATATATATATATATATATATATATATATATATATATATATATATATATATATATATATATATATATATATATATATATATATATATATATATATATATATATATATATATTTCTAGTTTGTGAGTTCTTGGAACCTTTTGATTTTATATATTCTTAAGAAATGGTTCTTGGGTTTTTTTTGGTCCTTTTTTAGTGAAATTAAAATAAGTTTCCGTTACTTGTGAAACATTTTATTTTTTGTGACGTTTCGGCCTTCAAGACCTTCTTCAGACATTTAATTTTAACCTACAAAAATGTGTTTTTAAATAAAATTATTTATAGCATTGTTTTCCTGGTCATAATTAAAACATAGATAAAAATTTGAATAGGAGTCAGCATTGAAATGATTAAAAATTACTAGTGCAAGTCAATAGAACAAACAAAGTGATTAAAAATTGTATAAAAATAGATGCACAACAATAAAACATACATAATTTCTTATATTACGATTACATACATACCTTAAGCCAAAAATCAACGGTTCACTATATAGTTGTTTGGTAATTTACAGTTCTACAACATTCACAACAGACATATTGAATATGTAAATCGACAAGCCACATTGATAAGACGACGAACCAAAACAATAATGCGAAGCCCGGATGTACGTTTCTTCACAGTAGGACAACGGAGTTTTTTTTTTTTTTTAAGCTTTTTTTTTTGTTTGTGTGAGATTCACGGGTTAATGTGTCTCTTTATTTAATTAAGTTGTGATAAATTTTGCTGAGATTTTTTGTGTCAGTCTTAGAGTTTATGGCGTTTGGATTTTTTTGGATCTCAATCATTTCATAAAATTCCCGTCTTTTTGTGTGCCTTTCTGAGCGTAAAATTTTCACACTTTGAAAGTCAAACGAGTGCTGATTCTTCCTGGAATGGCTCGAAAGAGCAGTGTTATTTTTTTTTTGTCATATTTATGGCCGTTTAAGCGACTTTTTAAGTATTGACTAGTTTGTCCGATGTAGACACCATTACAATTTTGGCACGGTATTTGGTACACCACGTGGCTTTTTTTCTCGTCAGGGATTTTTGATTTTAATTTACTAAAGTTTTGTTCTAATAGGTTATAACCTTTGTGTGCCACAGTAATGTCGCGTTGTTTGAACACATTGCACAAATTTTCCGATAGCCCTGGAACATACGGTAATGGGAGATATTGTTTTTGAGTGTTTTTATTCTCGGATTTGTTACCAGCATTTTGATTGTAAAATTTATGTATCCGTTTATTGAAAATTTTATTTATTAATACATCCGGATAACAGTTTAATTTTAGGGCTTGTTTTGCTTTTTTAATAGCTTGCTGTCAGTACTCAGGATCGGACAGTTTAATAGCTCGGTCGGCTAAACCTATTACCACAGCAAAGACCAGATCAAAACCAAATGGTACACCAAAGATACTTGGTCATCTAGGTATGTAAGTTTCAACTCCCAACATCCCATCACCCAAAAAAAATCCGTAGTAATAGGTTTAGCCGACCGAGCTCCGTTGTCCTACTGTGAAGAAACGTACATCCGGGCTTCGCATTATTGTTTTGGTTCGTCGTCTTATCAATGTGGCTTGTCGATTTACATATTCAATATGTCTGTTGTGAATGTTGTAAAACTGTAAATTACCAAACAACTATATAGTGAACCGTTGATTTTTGGCTTAAGGTATGTATGTAATCGTAATATAAGAAATTATGTATGTTTTATTGTTGTGCATCTATTTTTATACAATTTTTAATCACTTTGTTTGTTCTATTGACTTGCACTAGTAATTTTTAATCATTTCAATGCTGACTCCTATTCAAATTTTTATCTATGTTTTAATTATGACCAGGAAAACAATGCTATAAATAATTTTATTTAAAAACACATTTTTGTAGGTTAAAATTAAATGGATTCCAGTCGGAGTTCAACGAGCGAACGGATGATATCCCGGAATATAGTGTCATCACATTTTTCCATCCGTGAATCAATACGTGAAAAAAATATATATATATATATATATATATATATATATATATATATATATATATATATATATATATATATATATATATATGGATTTTCCTGAAGCTGAAAAGTCCAATGTCCAAAAAAAGCCAAAAACGGCATATTTTCGAACATTTACTCCGCCATAATAATAATTAAAAATAAGATAAGTTAATTTGTAGTGGTAGGTATTAATTATTATTTACTTTTTTGTTGCTGTATCCACAGCTCAAACAAAGCTCTTTCTCCTGTAATAGCTTTGTCATAGCCACCTAATAATATGAGAATAGTATTAAATAGAAGGAAAGATAAATATTGGAAAAGTTAAAATGAATCGGTAAGTTGACTCACCCTGTACATACAAAGTGAACATTTCTCTTATTTAGCAGGATTTGGAAAATTTGTTTTAACTAGTGTTGCATAACATCGAAAGATGTCCATTATAAAAATGTTTTCAATCATTCGGAGTGGTCTGCAAAAGAGTCTCCATATGGAATTATTTTTTGCCCCTTAATATTTTTCCAATGATGTTTTTGATTGTTTGTGAATTTTTTTGCGACGTTGCCAAACTTATCCGCAAAAAATAGGAAATATACATAACATAAGCTTTAATATTATCTCCTATATTTCTCCACACCACACTTACGATATCAAAAATGAATGTCAACTGAATTTGTTTCTATCATGGGCGGTAACATTTTTTTTTTTTGGAACAAAAATGAATTTCTTACCTTCGCCAACGGCATTTACGCAGTGGATTAAAAAAAAAATTATAAACGGCGTTAATTTTTC